TAGTGTAATGAGAGAAGTTAAAAAGACATTGCACGTTCGTGGGTTGAATTCAATTAACATCAAATTGGGAAGACAACTCATCTTCGTCTAACAATAACGCCCAAGACAAAGTGGTAATGTTCAACACAAACATCCAAGGACATCTCGAGACAGCTAAAGCCTTGCCAAGTGCTTCTATCTGGGAAACCGCTGAGACGGCAATCCCTTCAGATGGCAAAATAAACCTCAGGATCACCAGCATCAAGCTGAGCACTGGGTGAGGCAGCACTAGTTAACAAAATTGCAAAAGTTGCCAGCTACATAGATGGAAAAACATACTACGGAACGACAGTTGATCCAGGCATTTAGGATGAGTAATTAAACAACATCCTGGTAACGAACATTCAGTAATCAGATTAAAGTCAGGTTTTTCAGGCATGTTTTGGAAAAGATACGTTTGGAAATTGCTCCTCAGTCAGCTAGCGCAAGGGTTCTGCCCCATCATAGATGGATTCAGGGTGGTCACCTGGGGAAAAGGGGAAGAGGACGACGAAGGGTGCGGAAGAGAGTTTTCTTCAGTTTGTTGCACTAGTACCTTTGCCGTTGAGCGGGCCTTCCTCCCCTTCCCGTGGATCGCCTATGGTGTCCATATTTCTTTTTTGCTGTTTTATAAGATCCAGAATTGACTAACACTTAGTAATTTTGGAAGAAGCCATCGGTGCGGAACCGCAACACTGATAACGTTGTGTGGACGATGACCACTGGCATGAATATCCAGCAGGACATGCGTTACTGAACGGATCACAGGATACGATTTGATTATCTTTGACAAGAGCATATTCATTTGGTGGACAACCATCTGCAAATATTACATCTTCCTGAATATCTATCTGAATGATTTTTCACTGTAGGCCGATTGTAGCATCCAGATTGACATTAGACGGTGAAGGAGGCAAGAATGAGGTAAGAAGTTACGGTTCATTAAGTCATACACATCTTAACTCAGTAGTGCGACAGGACCTGGTAAGTATGACAGTCGCAGTGCTGAATGGAAAAGA